AACAGAAGCCTAGCTGTGGGAAAATAAGAAATCTGTAAGCACTTCTTCAAACCTTGGCTTGAGGAAACAGATGGGTTGCAGGTGGAACACAGGGGTGTGGTGTCCAGAGCTCAGATTTGGTGAGAGGACTGAAGGTAGGCTTTAATATACAGAGCCTGCCCACAAAGGTGGAGGGCAGACCATAAATAACATGGGTGACATGCTACGCACTCTTTGGTTAATTGTTTGCGGGTAGGTGGGGGGAGGAGGGGGGAGGTTTGTAAAAGATTTGATTAGGGAATTGATTGTATTTTTTCAAATTGTATTTTGTTATAGGAAAACAATTAAAAATGCAAGTACAATAATAATATGGGTCAGAGCCATGTTGAACACAGAGAGTGATGGGGGGAGACCTGTATGTGTAGAGAAGCTCCAAGCACAGATCTGAGGTCAGCCCTAACTGCCTAGAATGCCTGTCCCCAGACCTCGTTCACGCCATCATTCCTAATGCAGACAGTAACACTTTACTTGACCAGGCACAAATAATGTAGTACCTACTTATTTAATGGATTAATTACCCAGTAACTAAGTGATCATTCAACTATGATAGATCATGTATTTCATGCATGAACTATATTAGTTTATTAAGAAATCAGTTAACTGTTAATTAATATAGTTTCTGCATGGAGTATATGAACTTTCATGGTTCATTAATGCTGGACGATCGCTTAGTTACTGGGTAATTAATGCATTAAATAAGCATGTACTGCATTATTTGTGTCCGCTCAAGTAAAGTAGTACTGTCTGTTTGCATTAGGAATGATGATGTGATTAATGACTTTGGTTTTGCTCTCCTCCCGTCCTAACAGTGTCCCCCTGACACCGGCACTCCTGTCACTGTCCCCAACAGGCACACTCCACTTTCTCCACCCGCCGCCATTTGAAGTATATGGGGAATGCAGCAAACAGAGGTCTGCACTCCCCCGACACCAGCGGCAAGACAGAGCGGCACAGGACAAAGTTTTATTTTTGAATGCGGGAGCAGGCGGAAAGTGACTGATATGAAGTGGCTCGCAGGATCCCTCAAAAAGAATTAAAACATACAATTATCGCTCAAATATGCTTTTTGTTGTTCTTTTGAACCGTTATTCATGTTTGTGAGTGAACTTTGTATTTTACATTTAAAAATTCACCGAATAAAACAAAAGTAGGATATGCCTAATTTGGCTTTTACACAGCAAGCCTATCGCGGTACTTCCAGAAGGACTTTAGCTTGCTCCCATTGTTGAAAATCCCTTGTCAACTCTCGTGATCGTCCAGCTAATAATGGCAGATAGAGCACAACAATCTTTAACACCTGAGGATGTAAGTGCAGCTTTAGGAAAGGTGAATATGAAACTGGTCAACTAAGCAAGAGGACATCAGGTATTTGACAGTCATTATGCATTATACTCGACGATGATGGGAACCACTTGCCGTTTGCCCATGGTGACTAATGCAAAGTGCTATACTGGGCTCGTCGGGCACTTCAGGGACAAAACACCACTTCTGTTTTAACAGTTAAACATTGACTGTAGCTAATCTCGTGGGCATCTAGCAGCAAGGGAGGGGAAAGCGAGTCCAAACTGAGCGCCTGGGGGGGAAAGGCAGGCCACTGCACCGCTGAAGAGCAGGATGCAAAGAGCCAGGCCAAACATCCAATGGGTCCTAAAAGTGTCGACCCGTGTCCACCCCTCCCCCAGAGAAAACAAAGGCTCCTACGTCATCATCCTCTCTGCTGCACTGCTTTAACATGACGGATTGTCCTCTGTCAAAAAATAATCATCTTCTAATTATTTTTATGACATAAGACCTGCAGCTATCTGGGCAATAAGGCTGAGGAAAGCCATGAAAAGAAAAAATGAATTACGATTGTTTAGATTTATAACCTTCGACTCACGAGAGCCTCGAATGCAAGGCAGGTGATAAAGATGCCAAGGACAGACCTGGTTTATTTAGCCCCTGCTTCATACGATCAGTTTCTGGGACATTAACCTAGGCCTTACCTCCTTCCAGCAAATGCCAAAATTTGTAACAATGAGACCGTTTCCTTATCTACCCGCCTATTCTGATATGCTGTAATCAACATGATCCATTGTTTCTGCAATTTCTGCTCACTGAATGCTTCTTTCATTCAAAGCCCTGCCTGGCTGGGCTTTTTATTTATTTGTGTTTAACAGCAGCTCATGACTGTGACCTGGTCACGCTGCTCGCGGGTGCTGCATACAGATAAGCTCCCACAATGCCCCTGGGTGCCCAGCAGACATACCCACTATTCAGAGGCAGCGCAGCGGAGCGAACTATGCTACGACCTCAGGTGTCCGGAGACTGCTTCACACACCTGTTAAAAATACCTTTTAAAACTAAAAATAATATGAACATTAATGCAAGTCAAACAAATATAACAAGGCATATTTTCTTGGGGATACATTTAAACGCATAAAACATTTCAAAACATAAATCAAGCAAATAACAGCATTTTATTCCAGCGCACTCTACCTTACTGTGCAAATGAGTTTTAGTATCAGATTCATCTGAACTGTGATGAAGCTTGAGGCTGTATGTTTCATATCATTCCTGTTAAAGATTACCATGGGGTTACAGGAAATATTGGTCCTTCGGCAAGATCGGTGCCATGGTCACCAGCCTATAGTGGGAGACATACCCACCGTCACCTACGCCGACGCCAGAATGGAACTAGATGATTAAAGAAATCTTGCATCACTAAACAAATGTGATGCAGAATTCAATCTGAACAGCAAGCCATGAAAATACTAATATCAAAAGTTCTGAGAAGTGAATGGAAAAAAGATGCGTGTAAGCAGATATAATAAAAGTAGAGATTATGTTGTCCCCAAAGCCTTTCCTCATGTATGCTGCTGGAAATCATAAAACCTTAATTTTCCACAGAATGGGTCCATAGAGACCCAGGGGGATTCAGCCCAAGTCTCTGGAGAGAGCAACTGTGAGGAGGCAAATGTACTGTAAGGGGATTCAGCAGAGCGATACTGGACCTCTCAGCTGGGTGCCTGGTTGATAATAGAATGACAGCTATGATCCACCCTGGATGGGCATTTTGAAAGCACATCAATTATTAGCCATTACACAGCAGAATCACCGCCTTCTTTGTTGTGAACATCTTCGCTAAGCAAGAGAGAAATGAGGTTTTGAAACCCACAGCTACCGGGTTTATCATGCACCATCAATTGTCGACTAGTATACACCGGAGTAACCAATGACTCATCATTTTGAATTTCCATGTGTTTCAGACAAAGCTGGACTTCCGAAAGGTTAATCTGTACAAAGATCTTCAAACATCTCATACAGCCCTATGGCAATATAACATGCACTAATTTTTTCAGTGGTCTCTGATTATGTTCATTGTATTTGTGATATTTATATGAACTAAATGAGAGTATCCACTAAGCGTAAAAGCACGAGTGCAAAAGTAAAAACTAAAGAAGACTCAGCTAATATAAACACAGGCTGAACATCTCTACAGCAATATCATGTATAGTCTGTCTCTCACTGGAATAACCTGAGGCTGAAAACACCAGCTAGACGAACAGATGCAGCTTCGAACCCAGAACCACTTCACTGTACGTGCACTAGCAGGCCTCTTAAAGCAGACCAAAGCAGAAACCGGAATCACACGTATCCTCTGACACACATGCAGATGAATAACCACTTATGTCATACAGCTAAAACCAACGTAATGGTGGTTATGTAAAACAGTGCAAGTGAAATCAGAGAGCAGCTGTTTAAAAATCCAGTTTCCTGACAGTCACCTATGGCTGTACAATGACCAAACAGCACGAATTACAATAAACTCCACTGAAGTAGCTACTAGATTCTCTGTCTCTCTCTCTCCTTCTATATAATTTGCAGTTTCATCTCTCGCTGTAAGACGTTTCATTGCCACTATGGCAAAACGAGGGCCACTCCCCTTCCCTCAGTCCTAAACTCCTTTTCTTTGTCTGACTGTGCCCTCTCTTCCTGGAGTGAGCCAGTGCAAGGCATCAGCTTTCAGAAAAAAAAGAGTACTGTACCAATTTGTACCTTTGCTTGTCACTGGGGCTGTACCCTCAAGGGTCTGCCAGTTGTACCCTAGCTGCAGGTAAATGTACCTTTTAAGATAAAGAAATGGACTTTGAGGGACATTTTTGTGCCACTGGGGGTACATTAATGTTGTTTGTACCTTGGAGATATTTCTCAGAGTCCAATTCTGTATCGTAAATTAGACTAAAAGGTACATTTACAAAACGCTTGGGTACAATAGGTAGACCCTTGAGGTTACAGCCCCAGTGACAAGCAAACTGACAGGGTAATGGGGTAAAAAAAAGCCTGATGAATGCTCCCCCAGGGCCCTACTACCCCACCCTGCCAATGCCCACAAAAAATGATACAAGGACAGGATATAAACTCTGCAATGAATGCAGAGCTCAGCTGAAATACAGTATTACCACATGCAAAACATTCCTATCAAACCTGATCTCTAATCTGTAATGCAGGTCATGCAATGCCTATAACAAGTGAAGGAACTGTTGTGCAAGATGCATGAAGGAGCATACGTGCTATTATTAATTTACCAGTCATTAACTAACTGATGAACTGTAGCCGTTTTAATAAAACGTCTGCCCCCACCCCTCAGCAATCTCATTTTGAAAAACTCAGCACTAATTTCCTTAGTTCGCATCACTGACAGTGTGTTAAAACAGGGAGACAAAATTAGTCTGTTTGTCCCAAATTATGATCAATCCACATATTTCCACTGGAAACTAACTGGTTTTAATTGGAAACCAACTCCCATTTGAGATGAAAACCCAAAAGGATGAAAGAGCCGCTGGAACTTTCGGGGGGTGTCCCCCCCCCCCCCAATTTAGTGACATTACATACGTTTGAAAGAGTTTTACTAAAAGCCCCTCCGCTGGTTCACACGTTCCGGTTGCTGCGGGACGCTAATGCGGCGGGAGCCCGCTTACCTTCGCGGTGGGGAGCCCGGTGAGCCCTGGGTCCCGGTGTCTGCGGGCTGAAGCGGTGTCCTGCTCCCTGTTCACGCCGCCTGCAGGCTCCGGTATACCCCGCACGCCGCTGTCGGAGTGCCCTCCCTAAGAAAGCCCAGCCCTCACCCCCGCCCCCAGCAAAGCAGAGATCGGAGCGCTCCAGAGAGAGAGCAACCCCGGGGGATGGATGTCCATGTACCATTTCTATGCCAGATCTAATACTGTATTAAAGCTATATATTGTATATTTAAAACACCACTATAGATCCCCGCACGTTTGAAATATTTTATTACCACCCCAATAAATATCTCAGCAAGTTTTAAGCGCTTTAACAGTGCAGTCTTTTTATAAATGCCGCTTCAGTATACCGCAATGAATTTGCACCATAATTCAGTTACTCTTTTAGGGGTTACAGTACGTTGGTCTGGAATGTGTCAACATTCAAACATTAGCCGAATTATAGGCCTATTACTAGCGTGGTATACGTTAATATCACTGTATAATAAGTTACTGTAGCGCGAACTTATATTCACCAACTAGTAATTTCTGCTAGGTTAGCTAACAGCACAAACAACATGAAACGCGTGATATGTGGAGAAAAAGTATATAAACTATCAATTTATCCAAGCGGTACAGAAATTTGATGGATGAATGGATTACCGACGAAAGTTAACATAGTTACGACATTTATCTTTCAGTGACATATGTCGGTGACTCATTATTCAACCACAGTTAGCAGTAAATGGAGTGTGATTCGACATTCGGGATTTTCAAAGTTTTCAAAATGTTATAACTATTAAAATTAATTGATACCTTTCTGTCCTTCGTGATAAACCCCCTCCTACTCGACATTGCCCCTCCCACTCGGCACCCGGCTGCAGCGATCTATACTTGGCCCATTTTCAGCAACCATCACTCCCGTGTTTCAATAGCACAACTGAAATCATCATGTTAAAAACCTAATTCATCATTAGAAATCCCTTGTGCAATTAGGCCTATGTTAGCACAGCTGAAAATCATTGTGCTGTTTATCAAAGCGATAAAACTGGCCCTGTTTTGGCTACTTCAGTATCCGGAGGATAGCATCTCAATGCAAACGTTAACCTTCTCAGGGGGGGTTAAAAAAAAGAAAACTTGCACCCACCGGTATAGAAATGCTTTTAAAATGTTCGCTTATGGCACTGTTCCTATTAATATCTATCTGTACCTGCTTGTCCTATGCATAAATGACAAAAGTTGGAAGCATAGTTATTTCAAGCAGAAATCTTTATTTCTAACACTATCAATGTCTGGACTTTATTTTCTATTAATTTTGCAATTCTTTTGATGAATAGAAATGAATTTTCATAGAGAACATAAATTTTCAGAGCTAAACGTTCTCCAAAAGTTTGAACAGCAGAGTAAGAGGCCTGCCAGTATCATGAAGGACTCGTAACAGCCCCCCCCCCCCCCCCCCCCCCCCCCTCCCCGCACTCAGGAAGAAGGCTGTGCAGTATCAGGGTCTGAACAACCAGGCCGAGAAACAGCTTCTTTCTAGAAGACATCAGACTTACAAACTCTGCCAAACACTACAAATCTTTTCTCATGCAATAACAGATGTCACTATGGGCCCCTTTCCATGTGCAATAAATGTATTTACATGAATACTCATACAACTACCATTGTTGTGTTTATTACTATTCAAATTGTTTATAATTATTTTTTTACTTTTTCTAGAAGTGAATGTTTCTTTTAAACTGCAGTGCTCGGGATCTCAGTACCTAATTTCGTTCCCTAACATGCTGCCCCCATATTTCAGAATGACAATAAACAACCTTGAATTTATGTTAGTCATATTGTCTCCTTTCAGGTTTTCTGGACTTCATTATCACTGTGGGTGGTGAAAAAGTGTACTTCTGTTGTGGGACTGTTAAATCAAATTATGAATAACTAAAACCAACTAAAACCAAACCTGCACACAATATTCTAGGTGGGGTCTTACCAAGGAATTATATAAATGTAACATCACCTCCCTTAACTTAAACTCCACACACCTAGAGATATAACCCAACATTCTATTGGCCTTTTTTATTGCTTCCCCACACTGGCAAGAGTGGGACATGGAAGCATCAACATACACACCAAGATCTTTCTCGTAATCAGCTACCTTTATTTCAGTGGAACCCATAAAATATCTGTACTTTATATTTCTGCTCCCTGCATGGATTACCTTACATTTATCTGTGTTAAATTTCATCTACCAAGTATCAGCCCAGTCACTAATTAAATCCAGATCCTGTTGTAGCCTCTCTGCTGCTAGATCAGTATCTGCTACACCGCCCACCTTGGTGTTGTCTGCAAATTTAACCAGTTTACTGTATGTATTGGTGTCAATATCATTAATGTAAATTAGGAACAATAGTGGTCCTAAAATTGAACCCTGCGGTACCCCACTATGAACGCAGGCCCACTGTGACATTGTGCCTCTAACTACTCGCTGCTTCCTGTCAGTTAACCAGAATCATTATTATTGATGACGTATGACACTAGAGTGCCAGATGACTATTACCAGTTGGCCAGGGAGAAGGGTTATTTATTTAGTCTTGAGAAGGATGTATAGAACACAGAAGAAACTCCATGATCTCCCTTGACTGGAAATGTCAGCAGTTCCTTTCTGCCTTAACCAAAGGATCTCCTTGTGACACTGTTATCGGCCCAACATCTGTTTGCCAGAATGTTGGTGTTTGCATTATACTGTATTTTGTGCATTTTGTATTCATGTAGTGTGTATTTTAAGGAGATTGCTTGGATTCAACAGCAGCAGGTTTCCACACAGTACGGTGGACGAATATCCAGAGGGAAATCAGTTCCTGGTGGCTGCATCCTGAAGACAATGAAGAAGGGAAACAGTAGAGGACCATTGAGAGAATGAACAAGGTGGTGACCATGGCACCATTTTCACAGTTCCTATTCTCTCTCTGCTGCTTGAACACCGCACAGCTGTACCACCTCTCAAGGACTTGGGCGTTTCTCACACTTCCTTGTGTCATCAAACCCCCAAGCATGTTCAGTGGACCATATCTTCTCAAACAGAGGGCCACAACACAAAGAAAGTCAAATATCGAAGCTGCAGATCGATTACAAAAGCAATGCTTGACATTTTCACAATAATATTCCACATGAAATCATACTGGGAATGGTAAGCCATGCATACTGAGGGAAAACTAAAACAGGAGCAAATGTGCAGACACATACACGGTAGCGTACTGCTGAATCAATCATGTCCCAGAATGCCTGGGATCTTTCAGAAAGGCTGAAACTAATGATGGGAAAGAAGGGAAAAAAAAAAAAACTCACTCGCACATGCGCACATGCGCACGCGCGCACACACACACACACACACACACACGAAACATCACCCGCTTCCTGGATGGTTTGCTGTTTCTGTAATAAAACAAGCCCAGGCTTCCCCATAATTCCAGATTTCATTTAACCCTTGAATTGTCTATATGGTTTATGATACAGGGCAAACTTACGGTCAACTTCCAAACTTGCATCATTTTCCCTGATTATCTAGTTTAATCAGTTCCCTTTCATCTAGTTTTTACACTAATTATCCATTTTACTGTTTACAAAATGTATTTGTGGACTTTAGAATTCCAACACAAATTAGTGTGACATTAGAACTTATTGTCTACATCAGAGGTGGCCAATCTTATCCAGAAAGGGCCGGTGTGTGTGCGGGTTTTCGCTGCATCTCCCTGATTAGATTACTAATTAGAGGACTGATTCACTGAAGAGTCCTCACACCTGGGTTTGAACAGCTGACCTACAGGTTATCCCAAAAACCCGCATACACACTGGCTCTCTGAGGATAATGTCAACCACCCCTGGTCTACAATGATTCAGAATTCAGTTGATTAAAAGAAAAAAATAGTGCATATATCAAATTTGTTGTAATCCTTTTCACCTTATACCAAATATACATATATACAAACACATATGTGCAGTTCAGAAAACCAAGGCACCAACATTCCAAACTGAACAAAGATTTTTTTAAAAACTTGGGATTTTAAAAATTATTTTATTGTTATCAAGGAACAGATACCAGAGGTTACTTGCATTGGTTGACATACAACACAATAAACCAGATTGGCTGCTGCTCACAGAAGGCGGGATTAAACATACAGTAATGCTTTATTGGCAATTAGATATGCTAAGTGAGTATGTTCTCCTCTACAAGATATTATTGTACAATATACAAGTTAAAAAATATAGTCTGTATTGAGTTCATTTTCCATTTGCTTTCATTATTCATGATAAAATTCACATTAAGTGTTAAGACTTGTTTCTTGGCGATGCATCCAGAGCAAGAATTCAAAAATAAAATCTGAAGTTCACTCAAACACACACACATTAAATGGCCTGTGTGTTGGTGAAACGTAGATTGCAAAGTCTTTACATAATCAAGGCTCTGGGCAAAGATGGGAGGACAAGGCATCAAGGAACAGAGTTGGACAGCAGTGTTCAGACACACACACACACAAATACACACACACAAACACACAGACACGCACACACAGACATACACAAACACACACCAGAGTGCACCTCAGTACACTGAACTGCGCTCCATTTATTGTGCAACACACACACACACACACACACACACACACACACACACACACATTACAGTACGCTGGATACAAAATGCCCCCATCAGACACCTAGACACTACCCTGCCCATGACACACACACCCACCCACCTACCCAAACCCACACAAGATCCAGCCCCACTCACACCTCCAAGGAAACACACAGAGAAAAGTGCCTGTATAGACTCAGGAGATTGGGACACTTGGCCCCTTCGCACAGGGAGACACCACACTATGGTGCGTTTGCTGGGACAAGCAGAGTGTGGAGGCCAGACCAAATCTCAGATCCGGCCTTTACAGGCGGACCGGTCGGCGAGAAGCCGAAATCCGAGAACTGACATCTCCTAATGGTCACAAACCTACAGCCTAAGCACTACGAGGATACAGTGCCTGGACATTCATTGTTTAGGCATTTTTATAAATGGCAAGGTGGGGGGGCTTAAGTGGCAGACAGTGAGAGGAATCAAATTACATACCTGAAATGTTGTGGAGATTCAATAACGACAGTGATGATAAACTGAAATAAAACCCACTAAAGTTCAGGTGCCGGCAGGGCACACATAAAATACTGTAGTCAACGTTAAGCATTTAGTTCTTGGTGGTGAAGCAGAATGTAATCAAGGGTCATTCAAGTCACAAAAGGGGACAGGATGCCAGCCTCATTGGTCTGCCCAACCCCCCACCAAAGACAGCCATCCTCACACATGAATGTGCTATTGCTATTGAAGAGTGTTCTGAAATTAAATTTTGCGTGGATCTTCTAAGAGCAGGAGATACAAACACGAAACAGGTATACAGCTTTAGCATTATACCGCTAAAGTCAGAAGGGAGAAATGAAGGGGGTTATGGCTAAGCTAGCAACTGATGCTGGGAATGGGAACAAGAGTCCAGGTCAGCTTGGGCACCGCCTTCGGGAAGGGCTGACCATGCTATTGATGCCAAACCAGAGCATCCGCCGCGTCAAGGCTGGACAGGATGGCAGGACACCGCAATTAATTATTCACGTCTAACTGGGGCCCACTTCCTGCCCTTGAAAGGGCAAGAACATCACATACCCTCACGCCGGTGGGGGCCATATCTAGACAACATGAAGTTATGAAAAGTCAGAAGGTTCCCCATTCAGTAACAGAATACAGATGACCAAACTAACCCATGTTAATGCTAAATGTGGAAAAATATCCCTTTCAAATATTCTACAGATCCCTTCTTCAAATAAAGTTCGCAAATAGCTATAACTGAGGCAGATGAATTTTCGGCTTGGTGAAGTTGCAAATCTAGCAGAGGAAGAAAGCTTCCTGGTAGCTTATCTGCAAATTTTGACCATAATCCTTTGGCAAAAGTTACAAAAACAAAAACGACAGAACAAAGCATAGAACAGCCCAGATGAACCAGAAGTCAGAAACAGCTGCCTCTTGTGCGACAAAGTGAGAACTGCAGCTTGGGAGCAAATCTGATCTCACAAACGAGTCTTTCTGGGGCGCGGGATCTCAACATCAGGTTCCGAGTCTTGGGACATGGTGCTACTGGAACCATTTTCAACGTGGAGCTTGAATGGCGGAGGGAAAAGGGTGCAGGGCTCCCATTGGTCAGGACTGCATCTCTGAAACTCAGCCACAGCGCAGAGAAAATTGCAAAAAAAATAAAAATAAAAATAACGAAAAAGGAAAACAAATGCTTCCTGAAGAGGAAAAGCAAGAGAAACAAGACAGAAGAAAGCAGCGTGTCAGCAAGATCGAAATGATAGCTAGCAGAAGTCAAATTACAATCTTCAGGGAAAAAAAGTGCAATACAAGGTATTCCTTTCATTTACTGATATTGTTTAACATCAATTCTATAAGATTAGCTGGAGAGAACGATCACAGATAGATTAACATGTCTGTATTTATCTGCCTTACCATTTTACTATTTAAAATCAATTCGTTATAAGAATTAAGCCAAGGGATAAGGTGATTAACCATCCAGATGACCAAGACAGTTTAATTTGAAGAAAAGGCAAATATTACGGAAATGAAAATGAAATCCTACAACATGAGAATTAAAGGGCGAACAGGCTGGAAGCTGCTCAGGATAGGAAGTGGGAAATCCCCATTAAGTCCTATATGAACTTGCGCATACTGGTTTGGTTAAGCTGGAAAATAGACGGCATGACGTTATGCAAAATACAGTACAGCAGGTCGTATGTGCAGTGACTCAGAAGCACTAGCAGCCATCACACTTTGTCTAGACCAGGGGTGTCAAACTCCAGTCCTGGGGGGCCGGAGCCCTACGCATTTTTGGGTTTCCCCGCATTTAACACACCTGATTCAACTCCTTGTGCTAATTACCACACAGCTCTTTAGTTGAATCCTTTGTGGTGGAACAGGGAAAGAATTAAGCTACACAGGGCTCCGGCCCCCCAGGACTGGAGTTTGACACCACTGGTCTAGACAATCTTGTGGGAGTTTTATGCACACAAAAATGTCCCATGGCAGAATGAAAAATGATTGGTTCAGAAAGATAACCAATCAGATTGTAGAGGAGGTAGGTCGAAGCAACTAGTGGAGGTGGGACCAAGATATCTGACTGGTTGGTCCCGCTTCTTCTAGTTGTTTGGACCCACCTCCGCTACAGTCTGATTGGCTCTCTCTCTGAACCAATCATTTTTCATTCTGCCCTCAGAACATTTTTGTGTAAGAAGAACTCCAATGAGCTCTAGGCACATAAAAGAAAGGTTAAAATGTAGAAGGGCCTTCTACCTACAATGGGGCAGCTGGGGCTGGGGGGGCCTCATCTGTAGGTCTTGTGCTGTTGCATGAGTCCCACGTTCTCGTAGACGCGAGAGCTGTCGTCGCGCATCCTGTGGGTGGGGGTGGGGGGGGCGGGGCGGTTACCCAATTTGACTGGATCCCGGCATCTTGGCACACTGCAATATTTATTTTCTTGCATTTCTGGAGATGTTAGAGGAACTTACTCTGCACAGGTTGGGGTGGGCGTGCAGGGGGGATAGGGGCTCTGGTCTCCGGCCGTCAGGTCAGACAGAGAGTACTTAATGTTGGTGTACTCACGACCTTTGATCTTGCTCTTCTGCAGAAGCAGGGGGGAGGGTTAGTCGGCTTCAAAACCAGGGCCCTCGTGTTTTGTTTCAGGAGCTTTTGCATTAACAGTAATGTTGAATGAAAATACTCAGGGAACCCACTGCCCTTTAATAGAGTCTTTATAGATGATGGTGGCCCCAGGTGAGCATGCGGGCTGGGCTGGGCTGACCTGCTCTTCCTCGATGCGTCGCTGCAGTGTCTCAATGTAGTGCTGCACGGCCATATAGATGAAGCGGTACTGAGCCTCTGTCTGCACCATCCCTGACCGCTGCGAGCGCACCATCTGTATGGTCTTGGGCACGTCGATGTCACAGTCCACCCCTAGGGGGTGCATGTGCTCTCATTATGCAACCATCACATTTACATTAGTGAGAGTAGGAAAACACCCAAGCATGGATCTGAGGTTCTGCTGAGCTGAAGCTTGGCAGACACTCTGAGCAGCGGTCGTCAGGCCCACACACACCTTTCTCCCGAATGACATCAATGAGGATGTCTATCACGATAAACGTCCCCGTCCGTCCGATTCCGGCACTGCATACACACAAAGGGTTAACAGGAGGTGTCAAAAACCAAAGCTATGACTCAATAAATGCAAACACACTCTAAGAAAAGGTGGCTCTGACATTAAGATGACCGGAAAGCCATCATGCTTGTTAATCACACGTTTGTGATGCTGTTTTACCTGGCAAGTTAAGGTCCTACAGAGTAACTGCAATGCTGTGATTTTAACAGTATTTTAGAGAATTTACTTTGCGCCACAAATCATTGTCAAAGTTTTACTCTCCTTCCATAGGTGCCTGGCATCAGTGATTAGCGTCTCAAAACATCGACCCAGCACAATGGACAGATGTGAGACATGCCCTCTGTAAGAGGGAAATACCCCACCAGTTACGTCTACACAGTCATTAACTTCCACCCCCTGCTCCTCGGCCCACAAAGAAACGAGGCCTGTGTGCAATTGATCTTGAGGACCGGGCTCTTCAGAGAGGAGCCAGCTGGAGATGCAGATCGATCCATGCCAGCGGAAGTCAGATGCCTGCTGAGTTTTCGAAAATGGCGAAACATTTTTGCTATTACCGCCAGCCAGATGAAGCTATTTCTTGTCACAGGAAATCGAGCACCCACTTCAAACACAAAGCTCGTGTTCTACGCAGCAGATCTGCTGGAAGAGGGATGGGGTCTCTTGCCTGCAGTGAACCACAATAGGTCCCGCCTCCAGGATGCTCTCCTGCTTCAGGTTGACCTCCTCCAAGAAGTCAAGCACGCCGCCGGGATCGGTAGGCACACCGTGGTCCGGCCAGGCCCGAAAGTGGTACTGCCAAACGGTCCGCTCTGTATTCCCCTGAAATGTGGAACCATTTGTTTATTGGCCAGCAAAAGTGAACAGCTGATCTTGAAACCCTCTCTACAGACCTAATGCCTGAGAGCTACTGGAGACACATAAGACCAGTGATCTACTGGCAAGGCTGAAAAGGTTAAAGAGGGGTGGAGACAGGGTGAGTCAGTAGCAGATATACCTCCCCTTTAAAGTGAAATTCTACGCTGCCCCAAACGACCTTTGCTTCCCAGTCGAGGTGTAAAGATGCATCGATGTATTGTGACGAATTGATTATTAAGATGGCGATTCAATTACATTGATCTGTAACGTGAAAATAGATTATGGTCGCCAAAATGCTCCTTAAAGATATGCCTACTTCATCGGCATCAGTCCAATTTTTAGATTTCAGTATTCAAAGTTAGCAGCAGCAGAGCTGAAGACAACCACCGAAATAATGGAGATGACTGCATTGGACAACAAGAATTTTGTTGGCTCATACACCACTCACAAGAGGTCTCAAAGTACAGGCGCACTACATGTTTAGAATTCATTAATAAGCCTGGCCAACTGATCGATCTTTCGTTTTTCCACAAAATAAAATAAAAAATGTAACATGGGCAGTGGTGGCTTAATGGTTAGGGAAGCGCACTTGTAATTGAAAGATCTCTGGTTCGAATCCCCGACCAGCAAGGCACCACTGAGGTACCCTGAGCAAGGTACCGCCCCCAAGCACTGCCCCCCGGGCGCTGAATTAGCTGCCCCCTGCTATGTCATGATGTCACATATGGGTTAAATGCAGAGGACACATTTTGTTGTTGTGCACTGTGTGCTGTGTTGTATCAACAATGATCACTGATCACTAAATTGCGAGCTCGATGGGCCGAATGGCCTCCTCTCGTTTGTATATTTCTTAGTGGAAATTAGCGGGAGGTGGAAATTAGCGGGAGG